AATGAAAATTTCGATGTGTCATAAATAAAAACTTGTTATTAGTAAGAGCATTTTTTTAAAGCTACGTTAAAATTATATATCTTCTCTTATTTTGTTCTAGTGTAATTCAATTGTAAAAATTAAAATTTATTTAAATGGTCATATCGTGTTGATATAACATTAAAATATTTTATTTTAAAATTTGACAATTCATTGAAAATAAATTAAAAAAATTTTAAATCTTAAATTAAATATATTCCAGATGAATATTTTTTCTATTTTATTTGCGTAAGTTAGTGTTTTTGCTTTGCTCTCATGAATAATAAATTTTCGTTATAAAACTCATCGATTTCAAGTATTTCGCAAAAAATTAATTTTTTTGTTTCAATACTCCTCTTTTAGTTAAAAGTTAAAGATGCAATGAAATGTCCGCCTATAAGAAATATTGCAGTTCCGATTGTACTAAAAATTTCAGCAAAATGTTCAGGAAATGTGAGGATGAAAAATTACTGACATATTATTTTTTAATATTTGCAAAATAAAAAAATGAAATATGTTACAAATTTTTAAGTGAAATATTTTGAAAAGATTATTCATTCAAATTCTAGAAATATCGAAAGGAAATATTTCTAAATTGTTAAAAATACATATTTAGGCAATAAGATCCGGATATATTGGTGAAAAATAAAAAAAAATGAATTACAGAAATAAATTGCGGTAGTGATTGTGAAAATAAAGGACAAAATATTTCACCGATAGTAAACCTTTGTAAAAGAAAAAAATTTTCGATAATAATGCCTTAAATTATAACTTACAAATGAATCTTAAATTTAACATATCGCAAAATGTCTTAAATCGACGTATGCCGTCTTTCCGGCGATCGGTTCATATCTACCTTTTGTCATTTGCAATTTTAGACAAATTAAATTTTAAACATTTGAATACTCTGAAAAATAGAAATGTTATCAAATGAAAATTCTGCGAAACAAATTTTTTGTTCAATAATAATTATGCAGTAAATTAAGAATTCAATTAAAAAGTTACGAATATTGAAAGTCCAGTCAAGTAAAATTTGTAACAAATTTTCTTTTATAGTATATTCTTGCGTACCTGAGCGGATCTTATTTATTTTAAGTATTCTATTTTTATACTTACTGTTCATATATATTAATCTTGTTTCGCTTGTTGCATCTTATGTGTAATAATTTCTTTATAATAAATAAATTGTCACTATTTAACTAAATACACAAATTTTGTCCTTTATTTTCACAATCACTACCGCAATTTATTTCTGTAATTCATTTTTTTTTATTTTTCACCAATATATCCGGATCTTATTGCCTAAATATGTATTTTTAACAATTTAGAAATATTTCCTTTCGATATTTCTAGAATTTGAATGAATAATCTTTTCAAAATATTTCACTTAAAAATTTGTAACATATTTCATTTTTTTATTTTGCAAATATTAAAAAATAATATGTCAGTAATTTTTCATCCTCACATTTCCTGAACATTTTGCTGAAATTTTTAGTACAATCGGAACTGCAATATTTCTTATAGGCGGACATTTCATTGCTTGCCTCAAAATCTCATGGACCTTTCATTGAAATATTTCGAAGCTTTCAATGAAATATTCAGGACAAATTCAGGAAATTTTATGTGCTGTGTGAGTACTTTCCATCAACTTCTTTTGACACTCATGAGACTACGATTAAATATGTCAATCAATCTTTGATTTTTTGGCCTGATAGGGATACTCTTCATTCTTCTATGCCGCAATTTTTTATGAAACATTCAGAAAAAACGTATTAGTAATAATTGACTGTTTTGAAGTATTTCTCCCTCTAATGCCGAGGGTGTTTTAAAGTTAGTATTTAATTTTTTTAAGGCTTAAGTTCTCTAATTGTTGGAATTGAATAAAAACGTTAAATTCACTGTTTTTTGTTATTGGATTTAAAAATCCCACCAGGTCTTTATAATCTGAAATATTTTAAATAAAATCCAACAAAAATTATTAAGCACAAATTTATTTTGTAATATCATGAATTTGAAATATGTGTAATTATTTTATCATAAAAGATATTAACACTTACTTTCTTGTATAAAAGTTATCTCATCAAACTTGATCAAATCACTTAACTTTGAAATGTATTGACAATTATGATATTTTTAATGTTAAAACAATTGAATAATGATTTTTGATGGTACAGGAACATTCTTCTTTATCTACTAAAACCTACTGTAGGTATTAGATATTTCTTTCTTCAGTAAAATTGTAAAAAAATATTTTTTAAATTCGATTTTTTATACAAGGGAAGGTGACAGCGAAATTTCATCCCATCGAAATTTATATTATGTTTTGTGGTTACAATTTTTTTCTTACAATATTTAGTATTTAAAATTTAAATATAATACGAAAAATTAAAAACAAATTCTTTCCTTAATAATTTTGTAAATATAAGTCGAGATTTTAGAAAAATTTAATTTTCAACTTACAATCTCATTAATTTATTGTAACATTGAACGATAAGACCTTGATTTCAGTACACATGTAAAATTATTGTTTTTAAATGTAACCTATTTTAAACAATTTAAAAAATTGAAATCAAATTGCCTTTTCTGAATAAAAAAATTGTTTATAGGAAAAGATCAATAATAATGGCTTGAGTTTTATCTGGATTAATGCTTAGTTTATTTTCATTCGCCCATATAATGACACTAAGTCAATGTCCCTCTGTACTAATTGAAAGAGATCACATGGAGATGACAGTGGCCCCTATAGGTAAAGTTTAAAGTCGTCAGGAAATTTGATATACTTACACGATTTGAGCTGGCGCCCGAGGTCAGCAATATGTACGTTGAAAAGAAAAGAAGTAAGAGGGGAATCCTGAGGTACTCCGCATTTGATAATTTCCCATTCGGATTGATCACCTTTGTTATTTATAATACTCTGGTATCGTTCAGTAAGATAGGATCTGATCCAGTCACATGAGATGAGAGAAAGCTTGTAAGATAACAATTTTTTTAAAAGTAAATTATGACCAACTAAATCAAAATTCATTACACTAAAACGTCAATCGAGAACAGACGAATGTTGTTGCGGACCCGGGCACCAAGATGGGTAAGGGTCCTTCAGTGGAGCTAGAAATAGTGGGGGAAAGGGACGAGGAAAAGGGACGGAAAGGATCGGGAAGTCAGTGACCGATGAAAGCCCGTTGTTGTATGATTTGCGAAGCTGAAACGTGAATAATAAAGTTGAATTATTTAATTTGATTGTTAATTTGTGTTGTATAATTTAATTTTGTGACGAACTTCAAACGGAATTGAACCATTAAATTAAATTGAGGGATCGGTAAGTTGATTTGCATTAATATCAAATAATTCTGAATACCCACGTCGTGGGTGAATCAATTGAATAACTATCCGAATATCCATGTAGTGGATGACTAAATAATTGTGTGTCCACGTGGTAGACGATCTTGATGATGGCTTGTGTGATGAGTGTTGAGTCCGTTTAGTTTTATTTAATATGTTTGATAGTTTATTGCATTACTTGATTGTTGTTAATAAAGATATTCATTCTAATATTATATGTCTATAATTCCTCATCATCATTTTCTATAAAATAAATTAAATCATTTGCGAAACAAGTAACAAAATGGTGGAGGCGCCGGGTAATGTTACAATAAGATGACGATTAAAATGATGTAAAAATATATTTCAAGAGAACGTTCCAAATAAAACGAATGAATTGAATAATAGAACAGTCATAAAAGTTGCTACCTGAGTTGACCCCTTCATAGTTTGTAAACAGTCAATAAGTGTGATATACCGAAAGTTCATCATGTTTAAATGAAATAAAAATTAAATGAAATATTATCAAAACGGTGCATCCACCCTAATAAAAATGAATACCTTTGTTTAAAATTCAGCAACTTATTGTACGCTAGTTAATTATTTACTAATAAATGTCCATTTCATTGTTTAGTATGTTTAGCATTTATTTACGTATAAATATGTACATACAGGTATTCTATTTAATATTGATAATAAAAATTCACCTCTTCAATAGATGTCGAGCATAACCGAAAGGGGGAATTCACGGAGAGTAATGGAGGGAGGTCAGGAAGTAAGACACCGGAGTAGGGAGGAATTAGACCACGAAGATTCAATCAGTGGGGGAAATTCCAATGTCGAATCGCTCTCGGAGAAGTCACTCTCGGAATGATCGTTACAGTAGAAGAGATCGCGTTGATTTTGTTCGAGATAGAAGCAGAAGTCACTCCTCTAGGAATAGTCATTGGGATAGAGAATATGAGATAAATTCAGTCAGTGTTAGGTCGAAATTAGGGATAGGGAAGAAAGCTGGCGAAACTTTTAAAATAATTCTAAAATTTCCGTATCTACTAATATGGCATGCGATTTACAAATCGATGCGGCACGTAGACGTCACGAGATTCAACTGCGGATGATTGAAGAGAAGGCACGCTTAGAAACGGAGTTGGTAAATGAAGAGTTAGCAGCGAAACTAGCGGTAAATAATGACGAGAATGAAGACCTTCGTTCGGTATTGTCTCGTAGATCTCTTTGACGTGAACAGGAGGAAATACGCATAGGAGAAAACATTTAAAGGTGGTTAGAAGGTCGATCCCCAAAAGAGCACCCAATGGATTTTTCTGGACCAACACCAAACTTTAACGAGAATATAACCCATCGATTAAAGTTTGTTGATTATTATCGCCTGACTGACGATTTCTGACGATAACTGTCTTTAGCAAAGGTAGAAAGTTAAAGTGGCCACGACTGGGTCATTCACAGAAAATTAAAAGGCATTAAAATAAGCTGGAACGCTTATTAATTTAATCCAATTTTGCTTATTTTAATACCAAAATGGATTAAAATAATAAGCGTTGCAGCTTATTTTAATACCTTATAATTTTCTGTGTTTGCCTTACGTTTATTTTTATAAATATCTATTTCAAAAAGTAATGTAGATATTAAAGCAAAAGAAGGTGAGTAAAGGGAAAACAATAATTTTTTATTTTTGTAAAATTTTCATCACTGTTTAACATAAATTCACAATAAAATAATGTTTTCTTGATGATTCCTCGCATAATTAAATTACGTTCCCACAATGTAAAATTTTGATAAACGTTATTCAGAAATCAAATTTATAAATTTGCAGATACTTTTAAATATCCTCTTCATTTTCATAATCTTGCATTTCATTGTCTTCGCCTTAAATAAAAAACAATTTTTAACTTATGATTTATCTGTAGTAATTATAAATTGGTAAAATTGGTTTGTGTAAGCATAGAGAAATATGAAAATAAAACCCTTTCACTCACACATTTTTCTTTTCACTGAATTCGTATAAAACTCGTTACTGGGGGTTTTTTGGGGTCGCTAAATACGAATTTGATGACATTTACAAAAAATTCAAAATGGTGAATACAATATGGCGGACATGAAAATTGAATTTAAAAAGAATGAATAAAATTTTTTTTGTTTTTAACCCCTTATGCTTCCTTTCTATGGTAACAGAATCCAGCTCATGTATCTTAGTGATGTTGAAAATAATTATTAACTTTTCAAATGTTTCATCTATCATTAAAACTTTTTTTTCTTATTTTTAATGTATAAATTACATTTACTGTTGGATGACTTATGTTACTGGACTATTGAGTTTATATTATTTTCTCTTTTTTATTTTTATGTCAAATATTACTGATGATGATTGATGATTTGTAAATCATAGTTTGACCACACCCAAAAAAAAGTAATCTTAAATTTAGAGGAAAATTCCTCTTCTAAAATCCTCTGAATATTTCCTCTTAAAATACGAATATTCCATTTCACTGTAGAATATTTTTATTCTTTGTTGTAATGGAACAATGACAAAAGGAGTACTTTTGCATTTTCCTCTTCAATTACGATTTTCCTGTTTAAATTTAGTATATTTGAAAAAAGGAAAAGTAAATACATGATATCAATTACATTTTTTTCCTGTTTGACATTTGCGCATTTGTTTTTCGAAACTGTCAATTTTCGTATTTTGTCATAATAGTGTTGTGTTATAAATCGAAAGACTAAAATGGAAAAGAGACTTAAAGATTTACTAAATGATTAAAATCTGGGTGGATATATTGAATGGAGGTGTAAATACAGAAAATATAACCTCTCGATTTATCTTCATTTCTTACTAATTTCCTTAAATATTTGCGTCGAACTTCTTTGATATTTGCCACTGGCTGTAGCATTTTTTATTATTATTGTAATTAAATCTAATGTATTGATGCTCAGCAAAAAGCAAGAAATTTTTTTCAGAAATGTTTAATTAATAACCAATATTTAATTCTTTATTCCAGGAATCTATTATAATTTACTTTTTTTGAATGTAAATAATTAAATCTTATTAAATATTTATTATATTATTCAAATTTAAAAAAATTATTGGTTCTCTTGACATTAATAACACTAGGAATTTTTTTTGTTGAAGTTTTGATATCAACATTTAATTCAATGTGTCAAAACTGTACTTTATTATCAATACATAACCATTATTGTCTAATAATTTATTCAAAACCTGTGTATTACGGTTATTTTCAACTTGTCAAAATATTAGAATATTATTCTTCCTTTAAGAGGATTTTTTCTAGAGGAAAATCCTTCCAAATTAAGATTATTACTTTTGATACCAAAATTAAGAGGAAAATATGCATTACATTTAGAGGAATCCTCTAGAATGAAGATTACTTTTTTTAAGGTGCATAAAACCTGTTCCCTATTAAAAATCCCTGTACAAGATCTTGTACAAGAAAATGTACATTTTCATCAGCTGTACTTGTACCTGTTCTGTTGAGAACATGTACAAGATCTTGTAAAATTTTGGCACCAGAACTTGTACTAGATTTTGTACAAGTAAATATATTTAATATTTGCATACAAGGAAATGTACATGTTATTGTACTGATTTATTTATGTCTTAGTTTAGCTAAAATTAAAAACTTTAAAGGGTGCGCAGTAGTTTTCTTAAGACTTTACAGCTGAGCAATAATTTTTAAGCATTCATAAGTAAAAAATACTAATGATTCTATATTATTAAAATTTCAAATTTTTGTTTAAATCTCTTTTTAAATGAACTTGTACAAGAACATGAACGATTTTATGTGTAAATACTTGTACATGAACCTGCACAAAAATATGTACAAGAACATGTGCATTTTTCTGTATACAAATATTAAATACCCGTGCAGAAATTTCCATACTTAGTGCTACTTTAAGTAAGACTCTCTCATGGCCCTTGCCAGTTTTTCCACAAGTCTGTCATTTCCCAGATTAAACGGCAGTTACTTGGTTATGGCATGTTTGCAATATAACCTAGAAAACTACATATCAAGACAGTGAAAAGGCTCTTGCCAGTTTGTCCACAAGTATGGCATTCCTTAGAGCAACTTGGTCTTGCCATGGTTTTATGACATAACTTCAAAGTAAAAAGTAATTTTTAACATTAAAAATAAATTATAATTTATATATAATTATTGTTTCTTTACTGTTCTGCATCCAAAGTCTTCTTTTTCCTCAGTCGCAATTTATCAAATCAATTTTGTATTTATTTTCTCACGTTAAGTTGGCGTAATGGTTAGCGCGTTAGATTACGGAGCGTTAGGTTAAGGGGTTCGATCCCAGATAGCGTTAAATATTTTTCAAAGTTTATGTAATCGATTGCGTTAAATAATAATAGGTAGGGGTAAATATAAGGTCTCCAGTAATAAATAATGTGTTAATTGTATAATTAATTCCATATTTAATTTTTTTGTTTAGTGTTGGTGTTACTACATATTTGAAGTTGGGTCGACTTTGGGATTATTGTTTGTCAGGCTAGAATTGTGCATTCTTCTGTTTTTGTTTTATTACAAGTTTTTGTTGCTTACTGATTCAATCAATTATTCATTACAACTGATTATCAGCCTGTAGTACATTTTTTACTGATTGCTTATTTTTGTCACAAAATATAGGGTAATTCTCAGGAAAACTCTCATGGCCCTGGCAAGTTCATCCCTAAGTAGGGCAAATCCTTGCAAACCGTTTCAAGCCATTACTAGGGCCTTGCCAGTTTGCCATGCCAGGCCCTTGCCAGAATCCAGGCGTACTGGGAAGGACCTTGAGAGGCCCACACCATAATTTCTGCACGGATATATTTACTTGTACAAAAAATTGTAAATTTTAAGAAATGCTGCTCAGTCGTTCCATTGGAACAACAATCAAGTATCTATTCATACAGCTGTGTGCTACTAGGTTAAAAATCTGAAAATTGAACATCATAGTATGTTAGTCCTTTCTGATGATCTCACCCATAATTCAGTAGCCGTTGCATGCATTCCAAAAAAATTCTTATAACACATATAAAGGAGCAAAATCTATCAATAAATAAAATAATATTTTTCACTGATAGAGCAGCAAAACAATATAACAATCAATTTAATTTTGCTAATTTATTGAGTGATAAGAAAGATTTTGAAGTTTATGCTGAATGTCTCTTCCATGAAACCGCACTTAGAAAAGGTATAGGTGTGATGGTATAGATGGAAATTTTAAAAGATTGGCAGCTCAAGCGAGCATACAATTACCACCTTCCAAACAAATTCTGACAGCAGAAGCTCTATTTAATTGGACAAAAGAGAAATTAGTATATTTTTAATTTTTGCGGTACGTAGTTTAAAAGTTTTGGAAATTCTGCAAAAAAAACTTTTTGGGTGTTTTAAAATTCATTCATTTTAAAGTTGTAGCGGTTTGAAAATTATTTTTCAAAAAAGTTTTACCCCTGCCAGTATGGCAACCCCGCATTACACGGACCTGAAATCATGTCTTTTATTTTAGTTTTTATATATACTAAGACATATATCTTTGCCAAAAAAAAATTTTCTTAAGTGGCTTTTTTTCCGAGAATGACTCATATGCTAATACAGATAATAAAATTCTATGAATTTTTGATGTTATAAAATCATTTTGAATTCACTATAATCGTAATTGTTATTCTTCCTTTTTACTTTTTTTATTATTCTATTGACATATGTTAGGAAAGCAAAGCATTTGCTCCGATTAAGAGTGTTGCGCTGAACTGGTTTTTAATTTATAACTGATATAATATTGCTCTGTCAAAATTCCCTTTGAATGTCACATATTACACCAACGCTACAGTCTGGCATAGATCTGACCGAGACAGTTAATAGCATTTTTGAAGGTATATATTTATAATTCAAAAATCTTATATTAGCTCTAAAAAACAATTACTATCTAAAAGCTTAAGACTTCTACAACCGCAAACTTTAAACGCGTTGTTCTTAAAATCTTGTTGCTTAAACTGACGGGATTCATATCTCCTCAAATTTTCATCCAATTTTCTTTGTTAAAAACTTAAAATAAAGATAATATAATTTATATGCGGTTGAACCTCCTATATACAATAAGGAAAATAAGTATTTTGAATTCGAATTAGTTTTCGCTTTTTGCGAAATACATGTTGGTATTTATCGACTATCGGTGATTAGTAAGTTATCGCCTTCATGAATCTGTGAGTTATACTATGTTAGGTTAGCCGTGCGCAACTCTATGCAGTACTGGTTGGGTAAATATTATACAAACCAGACTGTTGTCCAGAATCCACATAATTGTTAGTAACTAATTACATATTATATTATAGCAGTGGATGAGGTTAACCTCCTACCCATTCTCCTGGAGGAGGAGGACCCCGGGTGTTACGAACTGGACCTGTCGGATAACTACGAGGATTCTCCACCGGTCACCCCACTCAATGACTTCACCACCAAGGAAAAGTTTGATGACTCCCAATCCTGAGCCAACCAACTTATTAGTGAGTAGGGCAGGTTAGGGGCATCGTCATCATCATAACCACCACCTTTGCCACTCTCATCCCTAATATTATCTTCCCCAGGATGGTTATACCATAACTAACTGAACGGTGTTGAGGAGGGTGACAACCACGACGATGGCTTCATAACTGTTAGACTTAAATACAGTAAATTTAAAGAGATATTAATATAATATCTAGTTCTTTAAACGAATTTTACCATTTTTATACATATTCGATTAATTTGATTGCAAACCTGAATTTTCATTTGAAGACGGAGAAAATTGATCAAGGCGGTAAGCTTCCTCCTGTTGGGATGGGGGATCATTAACTTCAATCACTTCAGGTCCAATTTTATACTGATCTTGAACTTCTGGCATTAGCGATGGTATATAATGGTATGCATATTTTTTGTTACCAAAACCAATGTACAAATTAACTAATCTTCTGTTAGTATAAAAAAATTGATTAATTGTTACTCTTAAACTAGAAAAGTTATTAAATGGTAAATTTATAAAAAATCAAGTTAACTTTCTTCAAAATAAGAGAAATGATCAAGTCTTCTCGATATAACAAGTCATTGAAAAAATGAAAACTAATCAATCAGTTTGATCTACGTGTAAGTTTCCTAACATAAAATAGTTAATGAATACAAGTTAAGCCTTTCTGTTTACGTCCTCGACAAATTGATCCCTAATCAAGAAAACGTACATGTTCAACAGATGAACTTGTACCAGTTCTAGTAAAGAAAATGTGCAATTTCGGCACCTGAATTTTGGAATAATCTTGAATTAGAGGGTCAATTACGTAACTTTTTACAGATACCAGATTCCGAATCCTACATTCCAGATATTACATTCAGGATACCACATTCTGGATAACGCATTCCAGATACCACATTCCAGCTACCACATTCCAGATACCACATTCCGGTTTCCATATTCAGGATTTTAAATTTCGGTTTTTTAAAAATTTACACCCTATTGTGTATTATAAAAAAAGGAAATATTATTTTTATAAATTAATACACAAGTTATTACATCACTAAAGGCTTCGATGATGAAATTACTTTATTTCTTACATAAATTCTATGCTCAAGGAAACTATTAAAACATTTGTTCGTAAAACAAAATTAACCCTTAAAGTAGACACTGGGTACAGAACTCCTCGATGTTTTTTAAAACTGCGTGCCAAATTTAAACTCATGCATTTAAGCTCATCGTAAAAAATTAGTAGGCAATCTTAAAGTGACATCTATTTGTGTCGGCTATAAAGGAAACCTTGGAGTGGGAGTTTCGGATATAGCCGAAAGTATTCTGCGGACAAAGTCGGGTGGGAGCATAAAAGTTATTATAATAGAAAAAAGTGAAGTTTTTAAAAGTAAATATTTTAGAGAAGTTTATTAGTTATAACAATTACGGATAGAGGGGTAGGCCACAGAGTGGGGGAACGGGCCGGTACGAAATTCCATCACCGGGCAGGTATACGGGGACGAGTAGGCGGCGAATCGTGAATCGCCCTTTTTATTTTAATAATATTATATTATATCTGTTCAGTGTTGTGTTAAATCGCGTAATGGGTTTTTAAATTGCGTTCACCGCATGGTGCTTTCATCAAGCCAACCAAGCTGAGTACTCTTACGTACGCCTCACTAATTCGACGGTCGAAGTAGATATAATTAAATTCTCGAGATTACAATCTAAGTTTGTCGGTACCTTTCGCAGGCAAGACGCGGATATTCTCTAAATAATAATAATCGTTCACAAATCAAAGTGTTTTCAATTGTTTTAATTAAACTTTAAAAGGACGCTCTCAAACCCAAAGTAAATCACCACGCCGCAAATCACGTTGTACAAAGCAGTGTAATTTAAATAGATTATAAAATAAATTAAGTTAAATTTTTGTGTTAAACCTTGACATTCTCTGCACCCTTTCTCATCTCACTAATTCCCGATTTCTCATTTTAATTTAAAGAACCATCCCCTCATTAAGGCTTTTCTCAAACATTATGGTCCTTCGAGCCGGATAATCGGTTAAAAGTGAGTGAGAGTTTCAGTGCAAAACATTGTGGTGCTCATTTTAGTGCAACAGGTTCGCGTCACGTGGTAACCGGCGTGCACGCCTTGGCATTTCTCTCAGTGCTCGCCATATTGGCTTTCTCGCCCCCCACGGCACAGTCTCTCAGACGCTTCCCCTTGACTCTCTGCGCGAACGCCGTGCGTACCATCACGTACAGTGATCCGTTCCTCAGGCAGCAGTTCTCGACATCTTGGACTCTCTCTCCCTACTCTCGTGGTGCCGCCTGTACAAGTTAAGTGCGCGCTCAGCAGTAAGACTCTCTAATTGTAAGATCTCTAGTGTCCCCTCTCACGAACATTGCGCTTCTCTCTCTGGCGCGTGTGATCGGACGTCTCAACTACTCTCTCTCATGTGAAAAGTGACAGCTGAGTTTCTCAAAGTAATACAGTGTTCAATTCGGTTTCTTCTCATCAGACTTACAAATAATTAATTCTAACGGTACTCTCTCATCATGTCGACTTACGGGGATGATAGCCATTCTCACTCAGCCAACAATTCGAGTGATGAAAAGGAGGAATTCATCGACACAAAGGAAACTCCCAAAGAGCAAGAAATCAAATTGATTGTCAACCCCACCAAGCAACTGGCTATTGACATCAATCAATTGACTCAAGTTTCCACCTCACATCACACTCAACAGCAAGAACTGATTGTTCCGGTCCCATCAAGGCAAGGCTCACTCTCAAATCTCTCTGATCAAGGAATAGGCAAGGAATCTACCTCAACCAAAATGACCAGTGCTCAACTTGATCTCAAGGTGCTGTCTCAAAGAACTCGATTCAGGCAAATCGAAGAAATCTGTACTTTGGCAGAAAGTAGACATTACTGCGACGCAATGGACTACCTCGAATTGAAACTCGACACTCTAGCGGAGGTATGGGACCAATTCTACCAGACGCATGAGTTTCTCATCTCTCAAGGCTCGGCAAAACTCCTCCGTCATGCATACTTTCAAGAGGACTTGTTTGACCAAGGTTTTCGCTGTTATATCAAGGCCAAGGAATCATTGCTTGTGCAGCAAAGGCAACTCGAAAGGTCTCGTTTCGTCACTCCTGGTCCACCGATAGTTACTCAATCTCGTCAACGACTACCGGAAATCACATTGCCAACCTTCTCTGGAGATTACTCTAGCTGGGCCTCATTCAAGGATCTCTTCTCATCAATGGTGATAAGCAACGAGCAAATCACCAACGTTGAGAAGATGCATTATCTCAAAACCAGTCTCACAGGGGAGGCTGCAAGGATTATCTCAAATCTCCCGGTCTCAGGAGATTCATTTACCTCTGCCTGGAACACTTTTGTGTCCAGGTACGAGAACAAAAGACTTCTCATCTCGTCTCATCTCGATCGCTTGATGGCGACCACGGTGATCACTCCAAAGTCGGCGGATAGTCTCAACGCTCTTCTCACTTCTACTACGGAAGCACTTGATGCTCTCTCAGTTCTCGGTGCTCCTGTAACTAAGTGGGATCATATTTTGGTCCATCATATCACCAGGAGATTGGACACTCACACGAGAGAAGGGTGGGAGGTGAAATTAGGATCTAGTACTGACCCCCCCACCTACAAGCAGCTTAAGGAGTTTCTCACTGGGAGGGCTCGTGCTCTGGAGAGCATATCAAACTATTCGCAAGCAACAAAGACCACTTCATCGGCAAACACTAAGGTTTCGCAAAAAGGGTCGCCTCACAAGGCATTCACCGCATCAACTCAAGGATCAGACTCAACCGGCAATTATATCTGCTCTGCTTGTGGACAAGGGCATTACATCGTGCATTGTGAAAAGTTCCGAGATATGAGCACCAAGGCAAGAAGGACTTCGTCATCAAGCAGCGTCTCTGCTTCAATTGTCTCGGAAGGCACAATGCCAATTCTTGCCAAACAACGAAGAGATGTCAAGAGTGTGATGGTAAGCATCACACAATGATCCACTAGGCTAATCCTCTTCAACTCAAGGGCAACACCTCAACTTCTCAAGAACAAGGAACTTCTCATCATGGATCATCTCGCAACTCATCTCAACAGTCCAAGGACCAATGACAAACTCAACCTTCTCATCAGGACGATAAGGGTTTTCAAACAAGACCAGTGGTTCTCCTCGCCACTGCTCGAGCACTTTTCCTCTCTACACAAGCAACTCCTCATCCGGTACGCATATTAATTGATACGGGATCGGAGCTCTCATTCATTGCAGAATCTACGGTTCATTTTCTCAATTTAACCAAAGAAAAATCAACAATCTCAATCATCGGAATCGGAGCAACTCAATCAGGACATACTCGAGGTTCAGTATCCTTTACCCTCAAATCAATAATTTCCTCAAACTCAGTTTTCATCAAAGCCCACATCCTGCGAAAATTGTCGTCCACTCTCCCTTCCAGCAATATTCCCTCTTCCAATTGGCCTGACTTCCAAAATCTGCAACTTGCTGATCCTGAATTCTCAACACCTAGTTCGGTCAACCTCATTATCGTAGCTGGTTATTATGGGCAAATAATCAAAACTAAAATCATTAAAGGTCCTTCTTTTGCTCCCATTGCACAGCTCACCATCTTTGGATGGGTCATTTTAGGCCCTACCCAGTTGTATTCTCAACAAGGAATCAGTGTCCATCATTTGGTGGTGGATCAACAAAATGATCATCTGCAAAATTTTCTCACAAAATTCTGGATTCAGGAAGAAGTCCCTCAATCGGAAGCAACTCTACTGACCAATCAAGAGCAGGAATGCGAGGAGCATTTCAAGGTCACTCACTCAAGGGATTCAATGGGGCGATACATTGTTCGACTCCCAATCTCAACATCTCCGAGTCAACTTGGCGACTCTTATTTCAAGGCTCAACGGTGTCTACAGCGACTTCTCAAACGGTTTTCAACACAGCAAAACTACAAGGAACGCTACTTCTCATTTCTCAAGGAATATGAATCTGATGGTCATATGGTTAAGGCTTCACCAAGAGATAGTAGCCTTACAACCTACTATCTTCCTCATCATGGCATACTAAGGGAGTAAAGTACCACCACAAAATTAAGGGTTATCTTCAATGGATCAAGTCCATCAACAACAGGCGCTTTGCTCAACTCTATCTCTCATACTGGTGCGAAATTACAAAGGGACATCTCAGACATTCCCTTTGGCTGTCCCGGCGCTTCTCAATGGCAGATACATGGATGATATCTACGGTGCATAATGGCAAAGCAATCATCCAGACTTCTTCGACGCTGTAAAGGGCAAAGGTAGCACCAACCATCCTCACTTAATCGATCACTCTCAAACCAAGGTTCTGGGTCTCTCATGGTTTCCAAGGTCGGACGAATTTAAGTTTTTATTTGAGCCAACTTCTCTACCGGGTCATGGAATCTCAAAAA